AACTGTAGCACAGTAGGAGGAGATATCTGGACAATCACAGTGGCGGATCCAGAAATTTTCATAAGGGGGGCCTACTGACTGCCTAAGTGGGGGTCCGTTTTCAGTCATGCTTCAGTGATTCCCTATATAATCAACCAAATTTTTCCCACCAAAAAAGGGGGGGGGGGGTCCGGGCCCCCTGAAAAAAAACCTCTAACTCTGCCTCTGAACCAAGATCTCTATTTGCAGCTGTAGTACCAAGAAAATTACCAAGTCCAACTTAGGCAACTACAGCTGTGATCAGCTATAATTGTCACAATATTTGGAAGAAATCAAAATCCTGTGGCCATGCACACCTTTATTATTTGTATGAACATCCTACAAAATATTAAAGTTGTACCTCCAAAACTGTAGGAGATAGTATAAATTTATACCCCACCCCTATTTTGTCACGGGGGCTTAAAAATCATACAGACGCTTACGCACACACTTAATTATATACATACATACTATATAGTCTGCATGTGCTTGCGTGTTTGAGGTTTTCAGTTGTCTTTTCAACAATAACACCTATCTATCTATCTCAACCTTTCTTAGTGTAATGAACCAGAATATGCAAATCTAGAGAGTTTCGAATGTATTTCTCGGTTCCGCGTCTGCATTTGATGTAAGTCTTTGCATTTTTATATTTCCCCGCAGATTATACAATCATAATATTCGGGTCCCGGAGATTATTTTTGGTTTGGTTTATAAAAGCCGAAGATTTTATTATTGAAAATAATCTGCGGGCTCTTGATTAAAAGCCGAAGATTTTACAATTGATAATAATCGGCGGGGGTCAGACTTTTAAAAGCCGAAGATTTTATAATATAATAATCGGCGGTGAATTTTGAAAAGCCGAAGATTTTGAAAAGCCGAAGATTATGAAAAGCCGAAGATTTTGGAAAGCCGAAGATTTTGAAAAGCCGAAGATTTTGAAAAGTCGAAGATTTTCAGACTTTTAAAAGCCGAAGATTTTATAATATAATAATCGGCGGTGAATTTTGAAAAGCCGAAGATTTTGAAAAGCCGAAGATTGTGAAAAGCCGAAGATTTTGAAAGCCGAAGATTTTGAAAGCCGAAGATTTTGAAAAGCCGAAGATTTTAGAATTGATAATAATCGGCGGGATTTTAAAAGCCGAAGATTTATTTGTATCCATGTATTTTTAAAAGAAAAATAATAATAATCGGGGGGTTCACTGTGTATGGAAAGCCACAGTGAACCCCCCGATTATTATTATTTTTCTTTTAAAAATACATGGATACAAATAAATCTTCGGCTTTTAAAATCCCGCCGATTATTATCAATTCTAAAATCTTCGGCTTTTCAAAATCTTCGGCTTTCAAAATCTTCGGCTTTCAAAATCTTCGGCTTTTCAAAATCTTCGGCTTTCCAAAATCTTCGGCTTTCAAAATTTTCGGCTTTTCATAATCTTCGGCTTTTCAAAATCTTCGGCTTTTCAAAATTCACCGCCGATTATTATATTATAAAATCTTCGGCTTTTAAAAGTCTGAAAATCTTCGACTTTTCAAAATCTTCGGCTTTCCAAATCTTCGGCTTTTCAAAATCTTCGGCTTTTCAAAATTCACCGCCGATTATTATATTATAAAATCTTCGGCTTTTAAAAGTCTGAAAATCTTCGACTTTTCAAAATCTTCGGCTTTCCAAATCTTCGGCTTTTCAAAATCTTCGGCTTTTCAAAATTCACCGCCGATTATTATATTATAAAATCTTCGGCTTTTAAAAGTCTGAAAATCTTCGACTTTTCAAAATCTTCGGCTTTCAAAATCTTCGGCTTTTCAAAATCTTCGGCTTTTCAAAATTCACCGCCGATTATTATATTATAAAATCTTCGGCTTTTAAAAGTCTGAAAATCTTCGACTTTTCAAAATCTTCGGCTTTCAAAATCTTCGGCTTTTCAAAATCTTCGGCTTTTCAAAATTCACCGCCGATTATTATATTATAAAATCTTCGGCTTTTAAAAGTCTGAAAATCTTCGACTTTTCAAAATCTTCGGCTTTCAAAATCTTCGGCTTTTCAAAATCTTCGGCTTTCCAAAATCTTCGGCTTTCCAAAATCTTCGGCTTTTCATAATCTTCGGCTTTTCAAAATCTTCGGCTTTTCAAAATTCACCGCCGATTATTATATTATAAAATCTTCGGCTTTTAAAAGTCTGACCCCCGCCGATTATTATCAATTGTAAAATCTTCGGCTTTTAATCAAGAGCCCGCAGATTATTTTCAATAATAAAATCTTCGGCTTTTATAAACCAAACCAAAAATAATCTCCGGGACCCGAATATTATGATTGTATAATCTGCGGGGAAATATAAAAATGCAAAGACTTACATCAAATGCAGACGCGGAACCGAGAAATACATTCGAAACTCTCTAGATTTGCATATTCTGGTTCATTACACCAAGAAAGGTTGAGATAGATAGATAGGTGTTATTGTTGAAAAGACAACTGAAAACCTCAAACACGCAAGCACATGCAGACTATATAGTATGTATGTATATATTTAAGTGTGTGCGTAAGCGTCTGTATGATTTTTAAGCCCCCGTGACAAAATAGGGGTGGGGTATAAATTTACCCCTGTCCGTCCGTCTGTTCGTCCGTAAGATGCATTGTTTGTCCGGCTATCTCCTACAGTTTTGGAGGTACAACTTTAATATTTTGTAGGATGTTCATACAAATAATAAAGGTGTGCATGGCCACATGATTTTGATTTCTTTCAAATATTGTGCAAAATTAAAGCTGATCACAGCTGTAGTTGCCTAAGTTGGACTTGGTAATTTTCTTGGTACTACAGCTACAAATAGAGATCTTCGTTTCATCGTGGTTTATCTATTTGTCATGAGTGGGGCGAGTTGGCAGACCTTATTCCAGCGGGATTTTAACCCTTTCATAAGTGGGGCAAGTTATCCAACCTATTTTCAAATGGATTTTACCCTTTTCATAAGTGGGGCGAGTTGGTAAACAAGAGTGGGGCAATTTTTCCATAAGTGGGGCGAGTTGGCATTACTAAATTCATTGTGGTTTATCTATTTGTCATGAGTTGAGCGAGTTGGCAGACCTTGTTTCAGTGGGATTTTAACCCTTTTCATAAGTGGGGCAAGTTATCCAACCTATTTTCAATGGGATTTCACCCTTTTCATAAGTGGTGCGAGTTGGTAAACAAGAGTTGGGCGAGTTGGTGAAAAAGTGGGGCGATTAGGTGTTGGGTGATTTGCCAGTAGGGCGATTTGTCATGGATTCCTGTGATCAGCTATAATTGTCACAATATTTGGAAGAAATCAAAATCCTTTGGCCATGAACGCCTTTTTTATGTGTATGAACATCCTACAAAATATTAAAGTTGTACCTCCAAAACTGTAGGAGATAGCCGGACAAACAATGCATCTTACGGACGAACAGACGGACGGACAGGGGTAAATTTATACCCCACCCCTATTTTGTCACGGGGGCTTAAAAATCATACAGACGTTTACGCACACACTTAAATATATACATACATACTATATAGTCTGCATGTGCTTGCGTGTTTGAGGTTTTCAGTTGTCTTTTCAACAATAACACCTATCTATCTATCTCAACCTTTCTTGGTGTAATAAACCAGAATATGCAAATCTAGAGAGTTTCGAATGTATTTCTCGGTTCCGCGTCTGCATTTGATGTAAGTCTTTGCATTTTTATATTTCCCCGCAGATTATACAATCATAATATTCGGGTCCCGGAGATTATTTTTGGTTTGGTTTATAAAAGCCGAAGATTTTATTATTGAAAATAATCTGCGGGTTCTTGATTAAAAGCCGAAGATTTTACAATTGATAATAATCGGCGGGGGTCAGACTTTTAAAAGCCGAAGATTTTATAATATAATAATCGGCGGTGAATTTTGAAAAGCCGAAGATTTTGAAAAGCCGAAGATTTTGAAAGCCGAAGATTTTGAAAAGTCGAAGATTTTCAGACTTTTAAAAGCCGAAGATTTTATAATATAATAATCGGCGGTGAATTTTGAAAAGCCGAAGATTTTGAAAAGCCGAAGATTTTGAAAGCCGAAGATTTTGAAAAGTCGAAGATTTTCAGACTTTTAAAAGCCGAAGATTTTATAAAATAATAATCGGCGGTGAATTTTGAAAAGCCGAAGATTATGAAAAGCCGAAAATTTTGAAAGCCGAAGATTTTGGAAAGCCGAAGATTTTGAAAAGCCGAAGATTTTGAAAGCCGAAGATTTTGAAAAGCCGAAGATTTTGAAAGCCGAAGATTTTGAAAAGCCGAAGATTTTAGAATTGATAATAATCGGCGGGATTTTAAAAGCCGAAGATTTATTTGTATCCATGTATTTTTAAAAGAAAAATAATAATAATCGGGGGGTTCACTGTGGCTTTCCATAACTGTGGCTTTCCATAATTGTGGCTTTCCATATTTATCAAATGACAAATTCAAAAGCTCAAACACATCAAACGAATGCAAAACAACTGTCATTTTGTATAAGAAAGGATTTTTATTATCTTTGCAAAATATTTTTTAAATGTTATGTCCTTCACCGGAAAAGTTCGTCAATTATGCGCGCCTTTATGGCGTCATTTACCATTTTATGCACTATTAAAGTTCATCAAGCGTCTTCGTGATCGTCATTATGCAAGATAAACTAGAAAAAAAAATTTCCGTAAGTACTTGATCACAATTCCCTAATGACAGCAGTGCTGATTATTTATTATAAGAATTTAATTTGCCGAATAATTCGTGCAATATTATGCATCTAGCTTATTTTTCAACCGCTCGCTCAACACGGAAAGGAAGTGACGATGTCCCTAAACGTACGAATAATGTTCACTAAAACCATAGTTTTTGATGGAAATGCAAAGAACTCGAAAGTGGTCTATTGGTTGCCTTTTTATGACTTAACATACTTGTATGTTGCATTCATTGAGGCAAATCAAGACAAATTATAAAATAAATTTTATTTATATTATAGAATTCATAGAGAAAACACGGAAATGGAACTGAAGAAGTGGCATGACAGTGCATTACAGATGCAAGACAGGTATTTGTAGAACGTATTGTTGTGCAGTAAACAATGTTATACCACTCACGAAAGGAGGATTGGCGTAGCACAAAAACTCATTAAAATGCTAGGGACATTTTCTTTGAAATCAAGAAATAATTGAGCAAATTTAAAAGAATGAATGCATAAATAAATAGATACATAAATAGTTTAATTAAAATGGGTGTTCTCACGATTATTTCTTTTTAAAACCAAAATCAATTTTTTAATTATATTAAATGAATGGGAAAAATTCCTGTTATTTCAAATTTTGTAAATTTCAACCATTTTTTAGTGTCGAATCCTTACAACGAAGGATATCCAGCCTTCAACATCAGCTTAAAGAAGCAGAAAATGACAAAGAAGATTTAAAAACAAGGTACATTCTGCAATTTACATGATGTGTAAATATTTTTTCACAACAATATAAAGTATAATAAATTGTAAGGACCTATTTTATTCAATCACCGACAAATTTTAAAGTACTCTAAGACTGATGTCTCTTTTTGTAGACATTGGAACTATTTAGAGCTTGACGTGCTGTATAGAGACCTGTCTATTTTTTTTTGTCGTTGGGTAACTGTTTCATTGACGTACATGTATACCTCAAAATTCTTTTATTCATGTATTTTTTTAAGAATTATTTTTTTTTAAGAGAATTCATGCATCTGCGCTAAACTTTGCAGTAAGAGAAAAGAGACTAGCTAATGAAAAAATTGATCTACAAAGGTGCACGATATTTCAGTCCTTATTAATACACAGTATTTCCTTTTGGTCTTGAACAATGATATGTTCCCCTCTAAAAACAAAGCTCCATTTATCATATCTTGACCCCGAATTTTCTTAACGGAAGGACTAGAAGTGTTGATTATACTCTTTGATACTTAAAATGATACAATCTTTGTTTTCAGCAAAATTAATATATCAATATCAATTTTCAGGTTAAGTCAAGTTGCGGGTGCAAAGTTAACAGCAGGAAATTCTAATATAGCAGATCTTGGAGATAAATACCGACCAACAAGAATCGCTGAGATATATTCGGAGACATACGACTCAGAGTGGACTGAAGCAATGGATAATGCTTTTGAACTCAAGAGAGGATGGTCAGAAGAAATGATTATCCGCAATTTGTTAATTGTATTACAGGTATTCCAGTTAAATACTTTGAATATAGTGATTAATATCGTCCGGTTATTTAGAAACTTTTCGGGCATTCATTATTGGATAACAATTGGCATAAGTGAAACCTTCTTAAATCTACATTTACTTAAATTAAATCTTTTGAAACAACGTGCATATTCTCGCCATTAAACAAAATGTAGATATGTCATACAATCTCAAAGATTAAAATATAAAATGTATTTCTTTTATAAATCGCCAAATGTTTAACGCCTAAGACATACTTCAGTTGTATAATTAATTCTAGGACATGATTTTCAGTAAAATATGATAATCCAATTTCACAGAGAATCGTTAATGTCAGCATCTATGATCATCTATGTTTATGTTCTCTCTTAAGTATTTGCATTACATGTTATATCGAGCGTTTGCTGCTTATACGTCATTTCGATCTGTTTCATTAAAAATTAAAGAGAACAATAATGATTCTCCACTGATGATGCCTTTCACAGGTTATGTTTTCATAGAATCCTTCATACTTTTTATCGCTGTTTTACCAGAGTCTTTTCGAAATAATTAAATTATTCAAACAGTCGATATAGGTTCCTATAACTTGTTTCACTTGTCAATTTCGCTTCATAAATGCAGAATCATCTGAACCCCACCCCCACCTTTATCGGCAACGCTTAGTTCATTTTAGCATATGCATTGTGTAATATGCTAACGAATAAAATTTATTAATGAAGATTCGATTTAGGGCTGCTTCCTTACCTGCCAGCAACTGGCCAATAAACAAATGAAGACATTATTAAGTGAGATGTTTATAGACGTACCTGAAACACATGTGAGTAGTTCATAATATTTTACTGTAAAAGTCACTCACACACACATAAATTATACCAACATAAGAAATATATATATATAACGTAGCCAGCAAAGGAAACTGAATATGAAGCGAAATGGAATTCAAAAAGCCAACGTTTAACACAAGTAAATATATATATATATGTGTGTGTAGTTGCATATGCCATGTATATTATCATACGCATATGCCTGAACCTATGTGATTCATACGTATCTTAATTTCACATATATATTTGAATCTTAATGGCATAGATACATGTAGGTATACCATGTGACACGTCATGTAAAATATTTCGATGTAGTAAGAAGAAGAATAAACATATTCAACCCTATCAATGTTTAAAAAATATCAATTCTAAATGTGTGGATCATGTGTATCTCAAAGATTTGAAACATATGTAAGTCTCATTTGATTTATATGTGATCAACATGGTTCACTCTTTTATGTGGTATCAAATTATTTTGTTTGACACTTATTTTGTACTTTTGTCTCGCCTGCGACGAAAGACATAAGGATTACTATCCGCCGGCGGCGGCGGTGTAAACTTATTGACGTGTGTATAAAACTTTATATTTCAAAAGGTAGAAGACCTGAATGCTTCATACCTTGTATGTAGATACCTTATGTTACGAAGTTTTTGTCTGTCATATGAACATTGTCCTTGACCTCATTTTCATGGTTCAGCGACTGCTTGGAAAAAAATATAGTTTTTTTTTCGATCATGTGAATTTTTCATTTATTATGAGTAACTAAATTTGGTATGTGGATTCCTTGCAACGCCTACAAATACCGTCAGACAGTCGAGAGTTCACCAGACCTCGACCTCATTCCATGGAGCAGTGATCAAGGTTAAAGTTACATGATAAGGTCCGGTTCTAAGATACTGTATGCAGTAGGTCAACTATATGTGGAATGATTGTAAGGGGTATATGTCACTCTGGCAGGTTTCATCTCATCTTGACCTCACTTTCATGGCTCATTAGTCAATGTTTAGTTGTAGTGTTTTGTTCAGTTTTTCAAGGACTATAAGCAATCGGTTAACTATGTGTGTTGTATGGCATAATTGTAAGGTGTACATGTCTGTCTGGCAGGTATCATCTAACCTTGACCACATTTTCATGGTTCATAAGTCAATGTTAAGTTTTTGTGTATTTGGTCTGTTTTTCAAATACTATAAGCAGTAGGTCAACTAAATGTGGTGTATGGAATGATTGTAAGGGATACATGTCAGTCTGGCAGGTTTCATCTGACCTTGACCTATTTTTTCATGGCTCATTACTCAATTTTTAGTTTTAGTGTTTTGTTCTGTTTTTTCAAGTACTATAAGCAATAGGTTAACTATGTTTGTTGTATGGAATGATTGTAAGGTGTACATGTCTGTCTGTCAGGTAGCATCTGACCTTGACCTTATTTTCATGGTTCATTGGTCGATTCTTAATTTGTGTGTTTTGATCTGTTTTTAAAATACTGTAAGCAGTAGCTTGGTCAACTATATTTGGTCTATGCAAAGATTTTAAGGTGTACATGTCTGTCTGGCAGGTATCATCCGACCTCGACCTCATTTTCATAATTCATTGGTCGATTTTTAATTTTTGTGTTTTTATCTATTTTTAAAATACTATAAGCAGTAGCTAGGTCAACTATAGTTGGTGTATGTAATGATTTAAGGTGTACATGTCTGTCTGGCAGGTATCATCCGACCTTGACCTCATGATTATGGTTCATTGGTCAATGTTAAGTTTTTGTGTTTTGGTCTGTATTCAAATACTATAAGCAGTACTGTAAGTCAACTAAATTTGGTATATGCAATGATTGTAAGGTGTACATGTCAGTCTGGTAGGTATAATCTGACCTTGACTTTAATTTCATGGTGCATTGGTCAATATTACGTTTTTGTGTTTTAATCTGTTATTCAATTACCATAAGCAATAAGTCAACTATATTTAGTGTATGAAATAATTGTAAGGTGAACATGTCAGTCTGACAGAATTTATCTGACCTTTACCTCATTACCATGGATATTTAAAAATGTTAAGTTTATGTGATACTTGTAGTAAAACCTTTATCTTTAAGACTTTCAACATAAAATCAATGGTCAGTAAAGCAGGCAAGACATTTCAGCGTGTGCATTCTTGTTATTTTTCATATTATATTTCATTTTTACTTGTTTAGGCTCGGAAAAAAAGCATGTCCTATAATGGCAGATCATGTTAATTTCTACAAGTAAACCATATAATCGTCGATTTTCAATCTTTCTACATCTTAAATATGATAAATTTGCAACTTGAGTCTTCTTTATATAGTGATTCATGTGGATACACGACAGAAAAGTTAATTTTTGCACAATGATATTATCAACTGAATGTAGTTTCCTGACAAACTATTTAGTGTTAACTCGAAGAACAAAAAAAAATAATGTGTTTTTTTTTAATTTACATATGCATAATATCGATTTAATATTAAGGTTACGAAATATGCGGAAAAACATTTCGCCGAAGTTAAGCAGTTAAAAGATGCCAGAAAGGGCACAGCTCCTGATGTTGCGATACTGTTGAAGGAGGTAAAGTATACATCTCCGCAAAAATTAATTAAGATCTCTTTTTTTTTTTTTTACATATGTCATTAAGTTAAAATATATTATTGTTATATTGAAAGTTACTGAAAGTTTTCCTTCTTTGATATAGTTATATGATTTTTACTGTAATGGTATTGTTATACGATATGATTTGCTGCGATAATTTGGATTAATACATATTTTTTGGTGGGAAGTCTTACTCTTTTGTTAGATAGGCTCAATAGAAAAAAACAAAATATTTTTGATGAAAGTCTTGATGCAAATTAAGGACTTTGAGATTTGTGTATATTACACAATAGTTTTATTTTAAATAACTGTATTTTATAATGATGAACATATCCAGAAAAAATGCATTAAACTCCATAATATAATTTCGTTGATTGGAGAAGTTGTTTATGGAATTTGTTGAGAACAACAAAAACCTGCATTTAACATGAAACTCAAAAAGACAATCACTAAGACCAAAACAACCACCAAACAGACTTCTACAGGCACACCGCTACTCTTTATGGGTATAAAGTAGTTTCACAAGCATTCAGTCGTTCCTTTCTATCAATACATAAAAGATGTCGAGATACCACATTAGAACCATTCCAGAAAAAAAACACTGGACTATATAATAATTTGTTTGACAGACAACAAAGACACAGCTTCTAGGGTATTAAATACAAATGTGTAACAGAGAAGCATGATTCTTACTATAAAATCACATCGTCTCCTCCGGGACTCGAACCAGGGACCTCTGTGTTTCATGGCTGCGCTTTAACCAACACTTTTTTTACACTAAGTTTGAACCAACCTTTAAACGTAAGCTTAGTTTGGATAATTTTTCCTTTACTGATATCAGTTTCGTTTAACAATGTTTCTTTGTGGTTAAAGACTCATCCTATATGAAAAATTAAAATACGAAAAATAAAAAAAATTTTAAAAGGATTTATTTGTATGAACAAACAAAAAGATTTGTTTATTTCAGAAAATTTTGGTTCATCAGGTCTTCAAGAAATACTGCACAGAGAACAAGCATTATGATAAGGTTCTTATAAGTGAATTAACTAAGACAAAATACGCCGAACGTTGTGTCTTTGTTAGTTGGTTAATGGTGGTCCAAGATCCAGAAATGTATATTGATGAACAACAAAGAGAGGGAGACACCCTGGACAAAGACAAGTACAAGGAGTATACACAAAGTGGCAAAACAATTTCTTTTAATGTTTGGCCAGCATTATATCTATACAAAGATGGCCCTTTGCTGATAAAAGGTGTTGCTCAGCCTGTTAATCAGTCTAAGTAAACAGCATATATGTCAGTACAACTGCTTTTGATTTGACTTAAAGGAATTCTCAGACTGAAACTTAAGATTGATATTGTCATTTGGCAAACCTTTCGGAATTCTGGCTTACAAAATGTTAACCCTGGTATCTATGATTAGTTTATTAATAAATATTATAATATTAGTATATCAGATAAAAATGTATATTTTCTATACTCTTATATTGTATTTTATATTTACATTGTGTACATAAATGTAGTTTGTTTGATAATTTGAAAATTTAAATCGGTAGAAGGGTTTATCACATAATATTAACTTGTGTCGTAAAGGCAAACGAGAGAGTATTCATTCAAACATTATTTCGTATACTTTACAGCTTGTCATGCTTGGTCTATATATTATGAAGCTTAAGAAAAAGTTTTAAATAGAAAACCTGACATTTGAGCGAAAGTGAATTTTGAAATATAAATGAACACCAGGAGTTGACTTGGAGAGAGAAATATGGTAATCTCTGGATTTAACGACGGTATAGTATACTGTATAGTATACCCATATTATAGAGGGGCGTCGATTTGTTTCTGTGGGATGTATAAATACGCAACCACGTTGGGTCAGATTGGGGACGTTAATTACAATGAATCATATAGGAGAGTTCCACGCTCTATGCACGCAAAAGAATCCTTGAAATAACTTTTTGAGGCAGTAGATATTTTGTTGCAAGGCAACGTTTCCTCCTTTATCCAACATACCCTAATGTTGCAATGGAAGTATAATTCACGCCCTTCATCCTGGTCCAACAAATATATGTCACTTGAGGTTAAGCAAGCAATTATCAATCAATAAAAAAATGTAAATGTTAATTGTGCGCATATTTTTTTTTTATGTAGAATAGAATATGGAAACGGGGAATGTGTCAAGGAGACAACAACCCGACCAAAGGGCAGAAAACAGCCCAAGGCCACCAATCGGTCTTCAACGCAACGAGAAAATCCCGCAACCGGAGGTGGGTATCAGCTGGTCCCTGAACAATAATTTATAACAGTTCAGAGAAATGAACATCACACTAAACTCCGAAATATTCAAATGAACCAGATTTAAAAAAACAACACACAAGACTAACAAACTCAAGAGGTATATGCTTGTATAATTTTAATCAAAATACTTAATTTTCTTCAAACACAAACGTATACAAGGGGTTAATACATACACAATCTACATAAAATGTTAGTGTATAAAAGCAATTGATTTTTCATGACAAAGAAGTTTACAATGTTTTGCTTATTTCATTTTAAAGGATACAAATATATTTAGGAACAGTAAGTACCTAGTATATATATATCTACAACAAATGAAATTTTTCGAAGATAAATACATATTTTCTTAAACACCTGTTACCAAAAGAAATTAAACAAAGAATTTCTGTTTGGAGTATAATTCTAAGTAGTAAGACGGTATGAGATCTTGCCTTTAAAGTGACACCAGCAGGGTGTGAAATTTTAAACAAATAATGGTTTTCATCGCCAATATTTGGTCATATTTTGTTTACAAAGATGATACACCCAGTCTTCCTTTGAAATATTTATCCGTTTTCACTATTCATGCAATTTGGAAAGTAATATTAGCACAAGTCATATAAATTTAGCCATATATAATATATCAGTTTGTGCAAATCGGAATCAATAACACTTTAATTGAAACATAGTTTTAAATGAACATATATAGTTTTAGAAAACAGAAAATGTCATATATGTGATGGTTTTATTGAAGACGAGGCGCGTGTTTTATTGAGATGATCTCTTTATGACGATTTTAGAAACCATTTATATTATGTTGCTGAAACTTTTAATGTAAAATTTTAATTTGTCATTTAGATGACGACCAAACATTAGTGTTTTCATTCTCAGATGTAAATATGATTAATATGTATGCCAACACCTGTTATTTAATTTTAAGAAGACGGAGAAATTGTATTTACTGCAAATAGTACATTATTTTACTAGTTTGAAGCTAGCCGGCGTTAATATTCATGAGGCTAGCCGTCAATGATATTCATGAGATGAGACCGCGTTCGATGAAGTGGTGTGGGTAATCAATATATTGTGACAATAAAAATGTTTAATTATAGGTTTCTTGACGAGTCTAAAGAATTGTGTATAGATTGATATACACTTGAGTTATTTAATTTCAATATAATAATGATAACCGACCCTTTGCATATTGCATTATTCTAACTCATATAAAATAACCAGGTCATCTTCATACAATATTTAAGACGTTCCAATAACATGTTATTTCTATTTTCAACTTCGCCATACATGTATATGGCGAGATAGCTCGGATAATGTAACTTTTATCATGGAATGTGTAATGACTTTACCTATTTTGAATTGTAGCAAGAAAATGAGTCACGTGACCCTAATTTCTATTTGTAGCAAGGAAACGAGTCACATGATCCTAATTTCTCTTTTTATTGTCTGAAAGCTCATTATTAGAGATCTCTTCTTTTATTTTATCGTAAAATTCTATCGTTTGGTCGTCTTTCTATCACACAAAATTGGGTTTTTCATGTATAATATATACACAAAATGACAATTTTGCACAACCTGTAGCTTGAAAAAAGCCCCGTGACTCATGCTGTTTCCTATATTTAAAAAAAAATCATTATAAACACTACATTTAAGCAAATTATTAAAAAGTTATATCGATTTTAATTAAGACCCCCATCTACCGTAAGCATATTTAGATAAATTCTAACGACTAACCCAGCTAACACAAAATATTTTCATGATATTATTGACTGGTTGTATATATGTTTATCAGAAATATTTTCACAAAAATATTTTAAAGACATTTTGTTTACATCAGAAATTAGGTGTGAATGATATTTAACTAATAACATTTCATCCCAATGTTTGATTGAAAATATAAAAAACATTTTTTGTAAATGAGAACAGTTTTATGTCGAAGAAATATTTCTTTACAATATTAAAACAATATCTGATGGACATTTTTATATTATAATTATAATATATATTTGTAAGATGTGTAAATGAAATGTTTATAAAACATTTTTGATTAATATCTGCGTTAAGCATAGGTTTGATGTAAATAAAATATCTTTTTGATGTAACATCTAAATAATTTTCTTGTCCTTATTAAAAATATAAGCTGGTAATATCTAATGAATATTTAAATAACGTCTTAAAAAAATATTTTTTCGATTTTATTTAGAAAATATTAGTTGAAGACCCTTTTATAAACATTTTAACATAATATGTCTTCTAGATATTTGTTAGATGTATGACAGAAATGTTTGTCAAATGTTTGTTAGTAATATTTGAGTGAAGCAAGTGTTTGATATGAAAAAGAAATATTTTTTAGATATCACATTAACATGAATGACTCCTCATTTTTATAGAAGAGCTTTAATAATTCCATAGAGGTGATATGAGATAAATCTCCTTGATAATTTTAACCTTTGAGGAACATTTCAATCGTGTATTATTATAACTTTTTTTCGTTCAACTTTAATTGATGAAACATAATAAACAAATATATACAGAGTGATACTTGATACAACCATTCTGTTAATCAAACACATTCTGATAAGGTTAACCAGATGTTGGAAACATTTCAAAGATAGTTGCTATGGTAATTAAGATTATAGAAAATCTAAATGTAATGGGATGGTCATTTTTGAGGTTATTTCCTGTCGTCTATTTGTAACTTCCGAAAGCAGTGAAAACAAAGAAAACTAAAAGAGAAAATCACAGTTCAAAGAGAAAGAAACATGTAAGTTGTAATTTTAAAAAATCGTAATTGATATACGGACTCGACTGAATCTTGTTTTTTTGTCCTCGGCAAAACTTTGGTAAAACAAAATCTGTATTTGAATAGTTTGTAGGAGTAAATATCACCAAAAGTTGAAGACGCTACTTCTTTAAATTATATGTATGCAGTGTTATAATTAAACATTAGGATATCATGGAAAAGTGAAAAAGATATATTTTTAACAAAATGAAATGGCATGTATATATATATGTGAAAAAAGGGGGTAAAATGTGAAAAAAATATCATACGGAAAAGTCTATACAAATTTGCAGACAGATTCGTGTATGAATTACTTGAAGTAGAGTTTCTTTTTAATTTACAATTTTACATTCTCATATAAATTTATAGATCTGGTATGTGAGAACTACAGAAGACAAATTAAAGCAGAGTGCAAAAGGAATTTTAATAATCATTGAAAATATTCTGGCTTCAAAATGCATGGAAATGGAGATGGGACAAAATGCATTCTACCATTTGATAGCCCAGAATGAATTACTTTAAGTAAGTAACATAATAGCCATCCTTTTTGCTACATCGGATTTGAAATTCGCAGATATATATGCATAACATATTTAATATTACTGTCAATGCTAAGTGTCACTTTGATTTAGATTTGACTTTGTATTTTTCACTTGAATTCTTTATTTAGTTAGAAATTTTTTTGACATAGTTCTTTTTCCTGAATCTATATCATAATCAAATAACGGCATACCTGTAATCTAATTATTATAATACAATTTTTTTCATAATATTGACTTGATATCGGCTTAAAAGCTTAAATCTCAATTGAGTTTAAACATTTATGTATTATTTCTTCTTCAGAAGGCTAACAAGAAGAGGAGGCTCGCAGTAGAAGATACAGACTCTGAATAATTAATAAAATGTTAAAATGCTATTCAGGAAAATTCAATATTCATTGACAGTCGTCCTGTCATATGAATAAGCTATTCTATCAATGCTTTTGTGTTGGCAGTATACAATGTCATGCTTTGACTGCTCTTAATTGTTTGAAAGAGTTTGAAAAATATCAAACAAAAATTCAAATTTCCACAAGTCGGAGAAAAACAATCGCATTGCAAAACAAAATAAAAAAATAAACAGTCTACATTACACTACATATAATGATAGAACAAGAAACAGGTGCCCTGGAGGAGAGCTGATAAATGTTAGTCTAAATATGCATGATATATTTGCAAGCTGAGAGTTGGCCTGAACATAAAACGTTTTTCGAATATTAATATAATGTTTTTTACAAACATTTAACCAAGATGTTTTAAGAATATTGGGAAGACATCCATAAAACATTGTTGAAATATTTAATTTACATATTCAAGAGATATTTCTACCTAAACTTGCCTCTGATATTTTAAAAACATTTGGTAGACATCCATAAAACATATTTTAGACATGAAAAGGATATTTTTGGATAACGTTTGATATATATGTTGTCTGGATATTTTCAATTGACATTGAATGATATCAAAATTATGTTATTTAAATATAAAATCAAAATATTTTAAAAAAATGTTCTTTAAACATTCGGAACAAATATCAGCTGAAAATATGCTATTCACATTAGTACAGCCATACATTTCACGTCAAAACAATATTTCTGAATGATATTTTTGTGACATTTTGCAATATATTTTAAAAATATCAATAAAATGTGTTTGTGCTACCTGGGAAGAAGGCCGCGATACTCGCTCTACCCCTTCTTAACCATTCAAATTACTCATTTTACTCTAATGATACGTTATGTCCAATAGCGGTATGGGCAGATCTCCGAGTTTCAATTGTTTTCACCAAAAAAGGCAGTGAGCGACGACTTTTGTTTTACGGAACTACGAACATGATTTTTTAAAAAGTTGGGACTTTAAAAAAAATCTTTAAATATATAGCACTCCTCAAGTGGCCAAGTTTTGATAAATAGTAAGTGCATGAGCAACTAGTGAGCATATTATTTGGTAAAGAAATGAGGTGTGTGTGATTACAGTCGAAAGATTGTAATATTATATAAGCTTAGTTAGGTATCATAGCTTTAGCGAAAACTTCTTGACTAACAACGAATATATTACATCGTAATAGATAACCGCAGCGTCCCTTGCGCAAGAGTATACGAGATCTTAAATGGTGTAAATACCAGTAGTACGGCATTGTTTTGTTTGTAAAATAAGTTCATACAACATAATCACATCATATTTCCGAACATTTAATCTAATTATTAATTCTAACTTTCACATGACTCAAGAAATGCAAATTTAATAGATTTTTATAAATTCGGAGTGTTACAAATAACTTTCAAAAGGTAATTAGAATAACATTCAAAACATAAATCAAAACACTCTCGAAAGTGATTTGGGGTATTCTTCTATATACAATTATTATAAAAAAAATATGTACCTTTGCAGTTGTATATCAAAATTTTCTTCAACAGTGTGTATGACTGACCTACATTTCAATTGTTTAGATTTTTATTAAACCTTTTGAAATTCTTTGAATTATATTCTTTTGACTGATTTAAATTTCCCATATTGATGTTATAAGTAAAATATATACAAGAAAAAGTAGCTTTAACAGTACATGGACTCAGAACGAACCTTATACGTCCCTATATGAAAAAGTTAAATATTTTTAAGTATTAGTGTTTATGTTGTTTGAATTGTTTTACTTAATAATATTCATGTATTACATAATTTAATAAATATTCAAACGATATTATTCATGTTAGTGTTTTGTCATATTTTATGTATATTCTGCTGGTAACAAGTTTCGTGTATACTGCAAACATACACTACAGTATCGTCTATACGGTTGACTATCGAATTTGTGCTTCCTATCCTTGTTCTTGTAATAACTTGGAATATACCACAGCTTGATTACAGATTTACTACCACGGAATTACGTAATACTTCAAACGTGCCTCAATATACCCAGTAGAACTATATGGTGAAAAACCTATAAATGAGAACACTTACATTCCTTATGGAGGTGATTTAACTGACTTTTGCACACATCTTATCATGAATAAGATAATTGTTGTGTTCAGTAGTGGCTTATGTAGGAAATTATTGGTGATTTTGATAGCCATGGGCCCAAGACGTAAACCAAGGACTGTACACAGTGAAGGGTGAGCTATCGGAATTTTGCTGGTAACAAGTTTCGTGTTTCAAGCTTCGTGTTTTCAAATACATGTATGCAGATATCAATATAGACAAAGAATGGCCTAACACAAATTAATTTTCACTAAGTTTTATTCATTCACTAATCATTACGAAAATTCGTTATCTAGGTGGCATGGTATGCACACTTTGTATGAACTGCTCAACATGTACATGCGCCTAATTCCACTCATTTTGGTACGGAAGCGTATATGTAACACGTCTTCGTGAGTAATTTCTACGTTTTACGAGTTAAACATAACGGGTTGCTGAATTGCTTTGCAACAACCCGAATAAGAAATTGCCCATTAGTGTCTTAAAACGCAATATTACAAGTTGTATACTGTACGAAATGGATTTGTTTTTGACACTCCATGCGATATTAAAATCGAGTTACTCATTTCGATCGCGATATGCGAGTTTTACTTTGCAAGTTTGGGTGTTCTTACAAATGTACAACCCGATTACGAGTTGTAGAACTCAAGTTTGTTAAACCAAACACTACGGAAGCGTAAAGGTATCTTTTTTCGCTGTTGTTGCTTTTGACTTGTTGCGTAATATCATACTTATCGATATATTTTATGTCGACTTATGTGGCGATACCGCCATAAATTATGAAAAATATCTCGAAATATTGTGTTATATCAAAACAATTCGATATAAAAAAATATTGACTTGAAGTCGATGTCGATACATTTATGTCGATACAAATTATTATAATTGAATTTAATTATATCGATTAAAAGTGACAATCAATTTATCAATT